GATAACATTTTACATTGACGTTAATTTAACATTTAGAAAATTGCATTTTGCACAGTTAGATTAGAATCACACTCGATAGTATGCTTCACAAAATTTCTATGGAACATATTTTTGCTCAGATGCATACATCATTTCATTTCCAACATAATACCATTCTTTTCAAACTACTTTGATCAAAACTGTATTTTAAAAATTTCAATCTTCCGTTTTATCAATGAATTCCAAGTGTGCAATGATTTTGACTTTGTTTGTCCTTAGCTCATTGTACCTTCGCTAAAATGAATGATCTTAATTCAATAGAACTTAATAAATGTAAATAACATTAAAAATATTGCTTTAGCAATATAAAGTCCTAACAAAAAGTCAAATTGCTTGTAACTGAACTCAAATCAAAGTAATAATTATGCTAACAAACTTGTGCTTAACCTTTTTTGATAGAAAAAATTTGTGATCTGTTTAGCACTTGGCAAGTTTTGCCTACTAAAAGCAAGTCATTTTATCTATTAATAAGTAAATTAAGACGAAATAAAATATCCGCTTAATTGCAACTTTTTAATCATGTTTTCTTTCACTTATTATTCATGGCACGCCAATTTCAAAAAACTTTTTCCTGTTTACTATTCGAATTGCTATATTAAAATTATACTTACTTACCCTTTCCAGAAAAGCAATTTTAAAAAGTTGTCAAGGGTTATCACTTGGCAAATGCATATATAATTACTGCACATTTGCAGCATAAAAAATTTTGTCAAGCTGTAATACTTTTATTAAAAAAATTTGACAAAATAAATAACAAATGTTCTTCCCATTTGACGTTAACAAGTGATCTCTTCAAAATTACTTGCTTGATTATTGACAACTTTTTAATTTTTAATTTTTAATAAAGAAATTAATTTTTAATTTTGAGATTATCTTTTAATTATTTATCTTCAAGTTCTCATACAAGTCAGTCATTCATGACATCAAATCAAATTACATATCTACAATATATCTACTTTATTCAGTAATTAAAATGATTAACTTTTGATCAATAAACAAACATCATTGTCTTAGTTTAGGAATGAGAGATTTTTTTCAAAAACTCTTGAATTAATTGAAAAGAATGTTTTCAAGTTATGAACATCAGTGTAGCCGTCAACTGTTGCTAATTAAACACGCGAGGTACGTAAGTATTCTTTCCCCAAACTATGTCTTCTATTTGTCGTACAAACAATTAATGCAATTTGCAGCAATTACTCTGTTCATAAATGTAAAATGAAAGAAGTTTACTCTTATACGCATTGTTCATTGCTCGAAAAGACTAGCAAAAATTGTCATGCTTTACGCTACTAATATTTTCACTATTTTTTATTCCATCTTATTTTTTACCACAGTTTGCATTGCATTTCAGAAGTTTTCTTCTCGATTTGTCAGTTTTGAATTGCTTTTATGACTAATAAAAGAAACTGCTATATGATAATGTAAGCAACTGTTTGCTTGAAAGTATAATTGACTTAATTTTATAATAATAGAAAGCTAACTTATAATAGCAGAAAGTATACATTTCATACGTTGGTAATAATCTCTTATTTTAAACTCACTCACTTCGCGATTACTTTATGCACAATAAAATGAAAGCAAAATTTGCATGTTTTTATTTCTGTTTCAATTTAAAATGTTTTTATGGTATTTAATTTTATAAACATTTTAATTTTTATCAGATTGCTTTATGTATTTATTTTCTTGTTCAGCAACGAAAATTCATTGAGCAAAATTGAATAATGCATTCAGATACTAAATGTTTACAATAAATTACGTTTGTATAGAGTCATATAATATGATTCTTGTGCAAGATCATAAAATTCTAATTTCATTCTGGCTGAAAATCATTAATGTAAAAAATATTTGATGGATATGCTAAATACGAGGAGAATATATGTCAGAAGGAGGTATACAAAGATTATCACATTGAGAAACAATTGCATGCGCTGGAAAGTTAATAGTTCGAAGTAGATTAACTGGAACATTAGAGATAGGCAGGTTAGTTATCAAAGCAATGTGTTCATCTCGTCTCAACTTTTTAGCATTCTTCACCTAAGAAAGCAAAGTCAAGCTAAAAGGAATCATTAGCCAAACTTCTGAAGCGATTGTAAAGTCAATTTAACTGTTGTTGTTATTATTGTCGCTGTGAAAATACAATTATCGTAATCAGTTACAGACAAAAGTGTTTGATAAGGAGAAAAGATTGAAAAAATTGTGAGAGAAAGGAAGAAAGATACGGGAAGTAGGAGTCGAAAGGAAAGAAAGAGTAAGAGATAGAGGGAGAGGAGGTCTTTAATACAATTTCATTTTTGCGAATCTCTATAACATTATTCAAACTTTTTAGCCGTTAAATCATCACCTTCCAAAAAGATTTTCAACTTACTTTTCGTACTTAATACTGCATTTTTGCCACTGCTTACAATGTGTACTGAAATTAAAATTCTTTGAAATTTTCAATTCAAATTCACGTGGACTTCTGTTCAAATTTACGTGGAACTCTGCTCGGAACTTTACTACTTTGAATACAATTTCCTGAGCTCATTTTAACTCAGTATTGCACTGAATTAACGCTAGCAAGAATATTTCATGTCATAACCAGCAAAGTACTAACTTTTTAAAGAACTTCAATTTCAGAGAAAACCCTTTATCTTCACATAACAATCGTATTGAAGTGCACGTCGTTTGTAAGTTTACCGTTAATTTATGACTTTTTTTTAAAACTTAAACAATATAAAAAATAGTTGAAAACAGTGTCAAGTAATAATAATTTCGTTGAGAATCTGAAAAAACTTTTTATTTTTTCACATTTGATCGAATTTAATGCTTTGAATGTTTTAAATGAAAATTCATTCAACTTTTGAACAAGTCTCAAATCCCTCATTTATTTGATAACTTTTGATAAAGATGGAATTGTTAGATTGGACGATTCAGTAGAATGAATTAATATTCATAACATAATTACTTTGTTAAGAATAACGTTTAGTCGAGCGAAATTTTTGAACTTTTTCAACAACGAAATATTGTATATGAGATGAACTTACTGAAATTCTGAGTTAATAATTAATGACAATTTGCAGCAATGTTAAAAGACCAAAGTAGCATAACTTGGATGTGATTATTTCTCTTTTCTGTTCTTCCATCCTTCTATGATCTGTCTTTTGCGCAACTTCTAAAATATTATGAGCGATATGAAGACCGCATTGTTCTTTTATTAAATTTTCCATTATCACTTGGCCTGACACACTCATTCAGGGCTACTAGACCTTAGGCTTTGCAAGATTTAACTGCTTACAACTTGTACAGGAGCTGCCTTGAATCCAACGTTGTTAATCTCCTTAATATTTTATGTAAATTACTTTTTGAAAAAAAAAATGGATCATGATACTTTGGAAAATAATGACGGAGCAAAAATTATCAAGATATAATCAAAATTTCCAATTTTTATTTCTGATAAAGTATTTTGTGTGCGAAATTAAACACATTTAAAATAAAGTTTTGAAAGTGAAATCGGTAGTGTAGCAATTTTAACGACTTCAGTTACAACAACTTAGAAATCGTTTTATGTTAGTTTTTATATGAATAATTAAATCATTTCATTAATTATAATTTCAGTGAACACAATTTGACGCATAACTCATACTTACTTTTAACGATTCTGATTTTTCTTCCAGCTTTTTTCAAACATTTCTTTAGACTGCAAATCTACTTGAACTTTTGATATCGAATTGCTTTGTAATAAGTGAAATATTTCAAAAATATGAAATAAAAAGTAAAAACAGACACACATTTTATGATGCAATAAGCAGTTAATTTAATTCCGCTCTCAATTCAAACAATGTTCTTATACATAGCTGGTAATTTTTTAAATGTCCTCAATAAATTTAAAAACAAAATAAAATTCAAAGAACTTCAAAAATTATTAAACAAAATACAATTTTTTAGATAGAGAACTTCAGAATGTTCGTAAACTTTATTAGCTACTGATTCTTATAATTGTGATATTTTCTATTTAGTAGATTTCATCCAAATACATTCAAATTACACAATTATTTGTCAGCTGAAACCGATCCAATTCCGATTTTTACGTATCAAATAACATATGATACACATTTGATTTAGCCAACGATCAAAAATACATGAATGCAAATATTTAGATGAAATAAAATGAAGCAAAGAAGACGTCAGGTGCAAATACACATAAATTTCTCATAGAAATAACTAAAATTAATTTTTGGGATTGGATTACCACTACCATATTTTTATTTTAATAGTGAAATGTCATACAAGGATTTTCTTTCTAGCTTTTATGAAGTATTAGATATTTTAGTGATTTTAGTAACTACAAATAGTCTTTGACTCAATTATTTTTAAGTCGTTAATTCAAAAAAGATTCCATCTAATAGAGCGATCGAGTAGTACAATATAATTTTAACATATGTTATTCAGTGCAGTAAAATAATGAAAAGTTTTGGAACAGTTGAACCTCACAGTTTAAGAGAATCTATGCTATAGAAGCTAAAAATGTTATCTTTCATTTATGTTTCTTTTCAGTTGCTGAATAATTTTAGTTGACATTTAGTTGATTAATTGAAAGTTGGAAATATCAAACACAAGTAAAAAGTACGTTCGTTTAACTCAAATTAAAGTTTTTATATATTGAAACTATTATAAAAAGTAAATACTTTGCTTGTGATTAATTACTTATAAAATTTTATTGCAACATTGAATCGAAAATATAACTTCGATGAAAAAAATAAAAAAACAGAATGCTAAAATACAAAAAAAGCGAATTTCGCAAGTGCTGTTCTTCTATTCTTTGTTATTTCTGATAGCACACGAAGGTTTCAGAGATATGCAAAATTTTTCAGGATTCATTGGGAAGATAGAATTTGATTTACTACAGAGTTGGACAAGAAATTAGTAGCGATGATATTAAGACTGCAATTATTAGCAGTTTCTTGAAAGTGGATGTGGGAAGTATGATGAGCTCGTGGCTGAGTGAGATAATCACAGTTCTTGCATTATCATTTCATGTGCTTGTTTATGCAAATCCCAAGTATCAACGACTCTTTGTCAGCACAAGGTTTGATCCCGAAAGAACTTACAAAGTTTAACTTATCAAGTTAGATACTCTACTTTAAAATGCTTCATGCAATATACTTCAAAAACTAATTAATTACTTCTAAGAGACGATCTTGAAAGTTTTATGTAAAATGGCAAAGAAATAAAACTAATAATATAAATAAATAGAGAAAAAAAAAAGAATAGAACAGTTTAGGGCAATAGACTTTGTGGATACTACAAAACACGGATTCCGGATTGTTTTGCTGGATTCGTTCCTTGAAACTTACCTTTCACCTAACCAAATTCCAACATTATTCGTCTCAGCCATCCCATTACTTCCAGATGAACCACTGATCAGCAAAGTCTTTTATCCCGATAATTTCAGAAATGACAAACAGGTAAGTCTTTTATTTTTATTTTCCGTGATTCAGAAATATTACACTAGTTGAATCCTATCTCAAATAGCATCAAATAAATTTGATTTTCGATATAAGTAATTTAACTGCAATTTTTTGAAAGATGGAAATTGAAATATACGAAAATGTTATTGCTTGTTATATTTTTGCAGTTATTTGTTTATAATATTTTTATATTTTCAGTATCAATTGCAGAGTTCAAAATTATTGTTATTTTTCAAAGTGCTTTTAATATGAAATGATTGTAATTTTGAGTTTTTAAAGAGGCATTTTTTTAAATAACAATTTTTGCCATGCACATCAATTAAACAATTTAATAGCGATCAACCATTAAGTAATGTTGATATCTGATGGCCACATGATATAATCAGTTACTTTCAATTAATTTTTTCAAACCATTTTGTAACAGTCTATGGCTTGAGGTAAAAGTTATTTTTTAACATTTAATCATAAATAATATATGCAAAAAAAACCATTTGCTTAATGCTTAGACTTTCTGAACTGATTTTAAGAGAAACTTCTGAAGTAAGGCAAGATTTGAAATGCACTGTTTGTAGTCTTCGAGCAGTTTCAGGTTAATTTATTAGACCTAAAAGAACGATCTTGGTACTACATATGCATTGAATGGGAAAACTTCAATCGACACAATGAAACCACTGGAACTGATTGTCGTTTGTTGCGTACGTTAGATCTTTCTGGACGAAGCGCGGATACCACGTTAGAAGAAATAGAAGTAGTAGATATCACTGCAACTACTATGCAATTTAAATTTCGTTCAACTGCCGATTTCCCGATTAGGTAAATTATCATTGTAATTTTGCATATTATTGCGAATTACATTCTATTGATGCATTCATTTCCGTAATCAGTATAAGGCTTTTTTCAGTTAAGGATATGCAATTTTTAAATATTCTTTCTTTAAACATTCACTAATCAATCAAAGTAATTTGGCACTAATCGGTCAGATGAGTTCAAAGAGAACACTACGTGACTCGTAATCCTACAGTACTGTGTCATTCTAATCTATGAGGAATGTCGTCAAAAGATGATGACCGCTGATTGCTATCATTCTATCACTTTTGTGAATGCATAGCAACAACTTGACCTTTGAATGTTCACGACCGAAGGATTAAATAATACAAAAAATGCGCAAAAGACGGAGGCAAGAGAATATCAAGGCCACAGGATATTTTTGATATTGCAGTGAAAACTATTTTAGTTTTACTCAAGCAAAAGTAGTAGAAAATAAATAATAAGTAGTATTTTAGCATCAAAATGATAATATTAAAAATAAACTTTTTAATTCCAAAAGTATTATTTATTATTTTTGGCTATGCATTAATAATTTCATTGAAATGCTAATCAGTAATTATTCTTTCTCAATTATTGCAACCCAAAACATACATTTAAAAATATCAAAAGAATATTTATATTTAAAATCGTAGGCAGTCTGCAAAAGATTAATTCCATTAGTAAATATTTGGATTATCATCTTAACAAGAAATAGTATCAATTTCTGGATTAAAGGTTTAAAGGAAAAAATTTGCAATTTGCAAGCATAAATAGTGCTTGATAAATAAAACATGATGTATTTTTTTGCGATTTCTGTTCTACTCTTAACATATATAAAATTATAGAACTAAAAATAGCACAGTGTAGGATTTGAGGTTAACATTAAGAGATTCATTTGAGAGCAAAAGTGGAAATAATTACTTTAGTTTATGATAACTAATTTTTTCAGCATTAATGTGTATGTGCATTAAGAGTTTTCCAGGATTTATTACTTCTACGTCCGTTAGATAAATGCATTCTCAAAAGATCGCTGCGATTTACTGAAACAGTTAATTATTAATTTATACTAAAAGTATAGAAGTAAACAATCACTTTCCGATTCAATAATTTATCAAAATTGAAAATTATGAAAAGAAAGCTTTAACAAAGAAAAAACTCATTAGTAATGTGCAGTGTTGTGTTGTGTTCGCTCACAAATACTTTCCCATCAGAAATTGATTTGCGATTTTTCAGTTTTGAGACAATACTTTACTTTAATAAAAAAGTAGCAAAAAGAAAGTTATTTTAAGTGTTGAAAAGCAAATAAGTAAGTAAGACTGAGAATGGTTGCGAATATCTAATTTTCGGAGCAGAAATTGCAAAAATAAGAAAGCTAACTTTATTGAAAATAAAGACAATACACTTAATAAATGATTTTTCTGAATCTTTTCTATAATTTACATTTTATATATATTCTCTGCTAGTGCAATAATGCTATTTGATAATAGTTAAACACTTTCTATTCATGCATTCCAAAGCACTGATTGATGTATTTGACGCAAGGGAGCATCGCATTTGTTGCAGAAGGCTCTTGTATTTGATACAGATATATTTTATGAAAAACAATGGCAGTAATGGTTATGCAGTAATACGGTTTGAACTCACGTAATATGAACTTAGCCTAAAATCTTCTACGCCATAAATTTGTTCTTTTTATGTCTTTCAATTTGTTAAAAGTTTTGGTAACTTCAGCAAGCATTTTGGTTCATTTTTTGTCCTAAATTTTTTCGATTCCAAATGATTACTTGCCATTTTTTTAACTGGAAAAATCTTCATTTTAAGATTTATGATTCAAACCTTTCTCGAAACCAAAAATGAAAATAAGGTTGGCATAAATTAGCACTAGTGTGTTGTATTAATGTATTACAGATTAATTGCTACATTACAAGGTGGAACAGTGCCTCAGATAAGTTCCCAAATATTTCAATTACGTGAATCTTCGGAAATCGATGTACTATTTACATTCCTAAAACACGACACAGATTACGGTAAATTGTGCATACGTGAGGAGCCATTAACTCGTGGATTTACTTCTATGGCACGTTCTGTGTCAGGGATGAGCATCGATAAATGTTATTTTGGTATAATTTTTAAAAAATTAGACCATGTTTTTGAATTGGTTTTCAGTACTGACCTATTTCTTCATCTTAATCTTATTTCAAGCTTATTTTGTAATGAGCCTAATCCATCTTTAATTTTTTTGGTTGAGATAACTAATTCATTTATTTGCTAGCAGTAACTTCATAAACACTGACAAGAGAAGGAAAATCTTTGTGAGGAGTTAATTAGTTTGCGTAAAGTAAAGATGCATAATTTGTTAAGTTATTCTTCTTGATTCATTAATGCACGACATTATTCCATGCAAACTTTTAATGAATGCAGGGAAACTGAGAACCAAAGATTACGAATTATCAACATATGATATGGAAGCCAGCCCATACAAGCATATGGCATCTTCGTCTGAAGTAGTCCTAAAAAACTACTACTACACTTTGCTACACATTTCTATCGCTACTATACTGATAAGATCGAACTATTCATGATATGAATTTTAAATTTTGTTTACTTCCATAGGTTTCCCAAAGTATTAGCAGTTATTCAAGAATCAACACCCAACATTTCTTGAGTAGTATGGCCATGACCATAATTGACCTTTACCACTTTAATTATCAGATCACATGATTTGTTCTTGAATAACTTCTAGAAAAAGCATATACTATAACAGTATGTGATTAGTAACAAAACTGATCATTGAAGAATGTGAAGTGATTTCTGTCAGTGTTCACAAGCAGTAATGTAAATTGTCCTTCACGATGTCATATTGAATAAAGACTAGCTCTTCCACTCAAAATTGTATCACACTTATTTTTCGACGAGCTAAAAGTAGAACTACAAATTCGGAGATCCATTTCAAAACACTTAAAATATTTCGGAAAAGTTTTATATTCCAATTATGACCTCATCATACTTTGCTAATTGGTCATTTCGAAGTACAGTGAATGCAGCATACTAACCTTATATTTTTTAAGGCATGAAAAGATTTGTTCGTGCTTCTACTGATAAATGGAACACCAAAAACAGAAAACCAGTACATTTGAATTTGAGATGGAAACAACTGCAAATATTACCTTAAATAATTATATATTTCCGCTCACAGATTGACTGATTACAACACATGAAGATTCATACATTTCAAAATGTTATACAGATCTCGGAAACTTTCCCTGTTACAAGCTTCTTAAAAACGGCTGCATTATCAGTAAGGTTCTACTAAGTGTTTACAAAAAACGAACTATTTCAAAAATTTGGCCAATCATTCATTTCTTACAGCCTAGTAGTACTAAAGCATGAATACCAATATAACATAATGATTTGGTAGGAAATGACGTATCTACAAATTCAAAACAAGGCCCGCAAGCATTAAGATAAATTAAACACGATTACTAATATAAATGAATCAAAATATCAAGGCCAACTTAATTACAAAATATATTTAGGAGCGCCTGCTTTCAGTCTAATAAATGAAGGCATGAGATGAATGCAGAAATATTTGGATTACTATTCGGTACGCTGTGCAAGCATTTCACAACCTTGCAAAACTGAAAAACTGCGATTCTAATTTAGTCAATTACTTTTTATTCATCACTAGATTATCTGATTAGGTGCAGAAATAAAATACATAAAAAACGCGAATTCCAACATTGAACTGCTTTATTTCTAGAAACATGTCATGGGATGCCTTAAGAACCGAAAACAAGTGGTTTACTTGGAATGATTCTTCATATTTTAAAGACATTATAAAATCTTCTTTTCAAAACTCTTGACAAAGATTTTTAACAACAAGAAAGAGATAAAGAACAAGAATAGCATAAAACAAGTACATGCACAAACCATTTTTTAAAAGTATTTTAAAAACAAAAATGATAGCATTCAAAAAGTTGGTGCATTAGCAAAACCAGCTGGTCCTTTGCGTTGAATGAGAATATCTTTCAATGTTTTCGGAAACAAACTCATTACTTTGAATCGCGTACCCATACCTTTATCACTCAAAAGCATCTCACATGAGTTCAATAAAGCTTGCCGCTCTTCTTTTGTCTTACAGGAGTTCATAAGTTTTTCTAATCTCAATCCGATTCCCATTTGAGCAAAGAATGCCCTAAAATTATAAAAGTCGACTGATATGTAAATAAATTGGAGATGGTACACCTCATTCAAAATTTTTTCCACTATTTCATCCAATACTACGTAGAGCAAAAGAATTTCTAGACTTTTATACGATTCATCAAATTTAAACACGCTAGAACTAAATATCGAACATGTCTATAATAGAAATTAATAATCATGAAAACCTACCGTTGTTCAACTGGCCCATAAATCAATGTCCGGTCCTTCACAAGATCTTTAAGATGCCCAAAATTCACATCAGCAGTTATATCATGCTGTCCAGGATTTTCCAAAGGATGTACGACTGAATGGTCTTTATAAGCCCGCAAAGAAAAATCCTTTCTTGAGCCGTCGTGCCCATAATCTATTATTAAGGCAAAGCCACCAAAATTTGTTATAGCATCAGCTACCTAAAACAACAACTGGAATATCATCTGAAGAGCCTAAACTCTGAACTATTCTAAAAAGATTTCATGAAAATTAAAAAAATGTATTTTTTTTCAGTCGTATTTACATACCTGTTTAATATAAGAATCAGCAGCAACACTAATTTCCCATTCGTCGATAGACGGATCATGACGAACTTTTTCTGGCAATAAACTCCTGGAAATACTTTCCAAATTAAAATCTAATATAGTCCACACAGAACAAGAAAAAATTTTAAACTTCACAAAATTGTTTGCACAACGCTATTACCTTTCCTACTTTTTTTTGGAAGAAATCAGAAGTACTACAAACTTACAATGTGAGTAAATTTTCCGATTTTGATAACATGAAACAGAGCTTATCATCTGCGTCCAAATTCACATATACTTCGTGCCATTTGCCTTTGAGATCTCTTTTGAACTGATTTATAGGTAAAGCATCCAGAAACTCGTTACTTATGAATACAGAAAACTGTAATATCCATATAATTAAACTTAGACTTCACTTTAAAATATTGTGGGAAATTAGTCTAAATTTACGAAGAGATATACTTTGGAAGGAATCTCGCCAATGCTGCGATACCAGTATATCGGGAAACCATTTTTTGTTACATTACAACGAACATACGGTTTTTCTTCAATAAATTGTGACAGGTTTTCACAAAGAATAGACTCCTGCCGAACTAATAATGAGTCGGATGTTTCCACAAGGTGAAGTGATACTTTTGTCTCCTAAAAATATTTCTTATTATGTAATCCGATTTTACAAAAAATCGGAAAAATTATGAGAACAATCTGTGAAACACACGTTGAACTGTTTTAAGACCCTTGTGATGTCAAGCATTAACTGTCCAGTACCAGGGCCATTTTCCACTAATTGCCATTCCATATTGTATCCTGAAAAGACCTGAAAATAAGAAGGATAGCAATCTGAAAACACCATTTGAAAAATAGTACGAAGTTCATTAAATGGATCATTTCAGTGCTCAGTTAATAGGTTTTTACATAAAAGGAATAGAGAGCTTGACTTATAGACCATATTAAAATGCAATATACCTGTATTCTTGAGTTCATAATAGCACCACACACCAACAAGTTCACCAAACATTTGTGTTAGCTCAGGAGCAGTAATAAAATCGCCTTTTTCACCGAAGATGTCACTGCCATGACAAGAATAATAACCACCAATCGGAGATGAAGATGTTAAACGCATGTAATCAGCAATACTTATAGGTCCATTAGTTTTGATTTTTTGCTACAAACAATGACTACTTGAGACTTTGAAAAATTTGATCTATTATAGCCAATAGTTTTCATTCCATATAAAAATTTAATAACTTAAAATTTATCTTTAGTCAAAATGTAATAACTAAACATTTTATACTCACAAAAGACATGATAACTCAAATTTATCCACGCGACGCAGCAAATAAAATAAAGATATGATCTTGCACCTTGATAAATCTTAATAGCTGAGAAGAATAATCTTCAATGGATGATTTTTCACTAACAATTCCTGAAGCTTTTCGCCTGATGACAGAGAAATTAATCAGATGAGTTTTCTTACACCAATTCGGCAGGAGCCCATAAATTGAAATTTTTCCACATACACGTGAAACCATTAGACAAGATCTGAAATCATGGCATATGAAAAATTAGTCTGAGGCAATGAGGTACCCCTCATCGCAAATTGACTCAAAGTGATGCTTGACTAGCCTAACGGAGATTGAAAGGATAATAGCTAAAGTATTCCGCTGGATATCACAGCAAAGTAAAATGACCAGTCTATTAAACTCGAAGAGCAATGCCGTAAAATCTAAAAGAAGGTCAACATTGACAGAAAGCTATAGTGCATTTTACATGAAATAAATCAAAGCACATGAAATTTAGTGAATACGGTTACATTTAAAAGTACCGATCGTTCCAGAAGCATTAGTTTGAGCGAAAAAAAACACTCCAAACCATTCTTCAATAGAACATTGAATACTTCCGCCAATCTTATTAATCCTTCCCCCTCCTAAATATTCGTTTTCTCTCGTTCCTTCATCTTCTCTTCTCATCATTTTCATGCTTTTCCTTCATGCTCCCTCAATCATTCTGCTACTCTCTCTTTTCTCTTGTTTTGATACACGCAATTCTTTTCCCTAACTACCAGACATTTAAATTCACACACAGACCTTTCCTGTCTTTGTCAGGCTATATAAAGCACTGACTGCTTAATTTGGAAATCAGCGATTTGTTCTGCTTTTGCAAGCTAATTTCAAGCAGTCTCAAGTGACAAGGAATTTAAAGTTTACAGTAGTCTATTAGTACAGTTATTTGTTAGAATAAACTGAAATTTGTGCAATATTGATGCAGTACTAAATACCGAATACCGTACCTTAGAATGCAAAAGTCATAATAGTCAGAAAATCCTGCAGAAGCTTTACTCTGAATGAGATTGAAAAGCTATCAAAGAAGTGGGAGAGAATCGAAGGGCAGAAATGAGTTTGTTCCCATGTGCATTATTTGCTCATTTTAAGCCTATTTGCTATCTGGTTTTTCTGTCAATTATTTCCAGATATATAAATAAATAATTGACGAAAAAAGCAGACAAAAGAGAGTGCTGAAAGCACAAATCATAAAATTTTCAACCCTCGAAGTATTGCTCACGTAACTTCTGAGCTCACGTAACTTTTGAGCTCACGTAACTTCTGAGCTTTTGGCTAAGTTAAATTTTTTTTTAAATTTTATTCGATTGCAATTATTAATTAATACTGATAATACAGCATATTGCTTAATCTCTTAGCATTTGTTTGTTGCAAACACATCTGATAATTGTATGCCAGCTTTTAGCTTTGTCTTTTCTAGTACTTTAAGACGGTTCTATTTTAGTGATCTCTGTGATCCGTCTGCTGACATATATGTTAAAGTGCCATAAAATTATGCTACTCTTTGTGATACGTTTTTTTTTTGACTGTTTTCCGATCAAAGAATTACGCCTGCAGCATATATAACTAACTATAGCATATTGTATTATAGTTTACTACCGATTTCACATATTCTATTTTTGTACTTTTTGTACATATCACTTTTATTAGTGACTTGAACAATCCACAATATATCTTTCGAATTTGACTTTTATCAGTTATTAAAGTCAATTTATCAAGCAGTATCCTTAACGCAATAACCTTATGCATAATAAACCTCCAAAACTTAGTTAATTTTACTTTGGAATTAAAATGTGTCCATCAACTGCTTTCAGAAAGTTGTTGGTTTATATAGTAGTGCCATAATTTGAATGAAAGCTTTGAAAAAGCTAAAAATCTCTGATTAGATGCAATACTGAGGTTAATGAGTTATCTGAACAATAGTACCAACTTTCTTGTCTAAAATTTATAAAAATAATGCCTAACTAGCAGTTGATACTAAGTCATTTTGTCCAGTTCATAATATTCAAAAAATAGCATTTTATAGAACAAAATTAAATTCGATTGCTCGCTAAATTGTTGACTTTCAACTTTTATCTCTAAGCAAACAACGAGTGAACTTCCAATGAACAAAAACTTCCTAAGATATTGAAATTTAATGCTAAACAAATTCAGTACTCTGTGGATACATTTGCTTCTTCCATTTCTGAATTGATAGTTTCTTAAAGCAGACTTCACTTAATCCTTTCTCTCTTGAAGAGTGTTGCCGATGAAGAATCTCAAAGTGCTTATTCTTGGAGACAAACTACTCTTCATTGCGCCTCCCTTACTTATTCTATTTTTGCAGTCTTAGAAATAGCTTATTTAATGAGCCGTTCTTGGATTATTTGAGTCCGTCTTAATTCGAATACTATTATTGCTAAAATATTATCAATTTGTTATTTTTTTTGAAAGTCATACAATTTTTTTCAACAAATTCGATATAAGTTAACAATGTACCAGTAATAAAAACAGTCTTTTTCTCAGTAACTTCTGACAGATTTTAATTTGAGTTTCTAGAAATGTCAGATATTTGCTCTACTATCCAGTATTTTCCAGTACTTATTAGATTATCTTATATATATATTAAGACATTAACTTAGTATGTATGTGTTATCTGAGGTTTTCGAGATAATTTTGATTTTATTATAAATGGTTCTTTGAGATTTGAAATTCTTCAAAATCATAAATTAAGTATGAATTAATTCATATTTCATCAATTAGCGCTGAAGAGAACATCTATTTGAAATATACAAAGATTGCAATTGCAGTTGAATTACTGTTATACTGTAACTGAAATTGTATCCACAAATTCTATGCATCCTTTGGATTGATTGAAATGATATCAAAATTATAACTTTCAGAAAAAATACTGTAATAACTCTTTAGAATTTCAATTCAAAAATTGTCGCATAGAATTAACAATGTAACAGTAATAAAAATAGTCTTTTTTAAAAAGAATTGTAAATTTTGGCAATGGAGTCGTGTCAGTTTAAATTTGATTAAAACTGTTCGTTTGCTTAGACTGGATTTACGTGAAAAAAACGCGGCAAATGATGAAAAAATTGGCAGACAAGTGAAAACGTCTTTCAAATCGAGAATTCTAATACTTCATGTCTAGCAAAAATTATTACATCTAATTGGTCTAATTTATTTCTGACTGATATTTAAGCAATTATTTATCAATATTATTTGATAGATAGTAACATAGGAGAAGCAGTTTTTTACTGATAGATTTCTTACCACAGAAACAAAGTTTCAGTGTTAAAAATACAGGCTAAGCAATCTAAAACATTTATTTTATGCTTAAATGATATTTGAAGTCTACTTATGGCTTGTAATAATAATTTCTAACGATGCAGTGCTTTCATTTCAATTTCAATTTTAAATGTTAGAAGTCTGCTTTTTGTTCTTAAAACAACTACAAAGGAAGTAATTGTATATGAAATTTCGGCAAAAGAATCTGTTAGTTTAAATTTAATTAAAACTGTTAAAGAGTTTTAATTAAGTGAAGACTTTTTTACTGCTGCAAAAATGTTACAGAATTTATCAAAATTATCAAATTTGTGTGTTCTTTTTCACGCAAATCGCTGGTTGAAGATACTCTTCAAATGTTCCCTTCAGCGCTAATTGATGAAATAGTTATGAATTAATTCATAATTAATTCATATTAATTCAAATCTCAAACAACCACTGATAATGAAAACAGAATTATTTTGAAAACTTCAGATAACACATACATAACAAGTTAATGTCTCAATATATATGTAAGATAATTTGATAACTACTGGAAAATACTGAATAGTAGAGCGAGTATCTGACGTTTCCAGAAACTGAAATTGAATTCTGTCAGAAGTTACCGAGAAAGGGACTATAGCGATCTTATTCGATAACCATCCACAATTTTTGCTTTTCATCGTAATTACTTTGATGCTTGAATTTAAAAATCTATATTTTGTCTGCCAAATAATTTTATTACGTCTGACATATTCATTCGTTAAATATCTTAGGCTTCATTCTAATGTAAGCTTTAAATCAAACAGACTGACTTGTATCTGAATTGTGTCATGGGTCAAATTAAGGCTGAACACGTTACTTGATCAGTACTATTTGTGGAAGATATAAATCGAGACTACAGAAGGATAGGATTAAATAATGCAGTCTTTGATGAGGTTCAAAGTTGAGACGTTCTTTTCAGATCGGTCGGAGATCGTTGATGGAGAGGATTTTTGCACTGCTGCTATTAATTGTTTTGTTCCTGCGTGCAGTGCAAGGACTGCATTTTTTGCAAGGGTTTGTTCACTTCACTTTATTTATAAAAAGTGTTGGTCTTCACTTTTATTACTGCTCTGCTTGAATGAATAGCGAACGTTCTATCTGAGAAAGCGTGAAGTAACGAGTCCCAAAGAAGCGCAAACATTTCTGAGAAATCAACACAAATAGACAAAAAAACACTCACTGCGCCAAGTTACTTTCGTCGGAGCGAAACACAGCACGAATTGTTTGATAGACTTGCCCGAATATGATGCATCTATTTCAGAGTGTTCGCTCCTGAAAGTATTCATTTCGAGAATTATTTTTCGAAAGAAACAAATGGCTGTTTGAATTCAAAAATTTTACTTTATGCTTTTTAAGTTTTTGATAAATTGCAAATTTGAGAAGAGTTCTTTTCAGATACAACAAACTCACTTTACTCACTTCATCGTAACTTTGTCGTAAATTTTTGAATTGCATTTGAGAGCTACAAATTTGACCCAACCAAATTAGCTTACTTACTGTTGCATGTTTTCAACTGTACATTATTTAATCTCAACGCTACCCAATTACGGTCACAGATGATAGTGTTTGCTTGAAGGATCAACATATCTTCTCACTAACTATCAATTGATCAAATTGGTGCACTTTGCAGTGAATGCAATTCACGAACTAACATGATTTCAACTATACTGGATAAGCTTGTCGATAACTATACATATGACCGACGCCTAAGACCGAAATACGGAGCAGAACCAGTCAACGTTGGCATCACGATGCACTTGTCCAGCATTAGTGCTGTATCTGAAGTTGACATGGTATGGAGTACGGTATAAAACTTATTATCACGGTGTAAAGCACTGTAATGATAAAAGACTTTGAGAAAATTCAAAAGATTTAAAAAAGTATTTGATAGCTTATTTTGAAATTAATTTTTTAATAAAGTACAGCACTCGTAAACACATTTATTTTTAGGATTTCACGCTTGATTTTTATTTGAGGCAAACCTGGAACGATCCACGTCTTGCATTTAGTCAACATCCGTTCAATGTCTTCGAAGAAAATGACATTGAATCACTAACAGTCAGTTTTACTGCTTTTACTTTTGTAATCACAAAATGAGCAATCAGAGAAAATTCAAAAAGAATACTAACAAAATTCAAACTAAAAGTGCAGTGCTTCCAAATGAGCTAAAATGGAGGGATATTTCAAAAGTATCAGACGTGTAGGGAAAGAAAGATTGATGATTTGCAGTTATTGAGGGGAATAAAAATATAAACTTTATTTGAAGGTGCAAAATTCATGCTTTGCTTGTGTATATACTATTATTTCGAGCTAACAATCGATAATAATATTTTCAGAATATTACTCCACTTTTCATTTTTATGTTTGCAAACTGTAAACTGATGTTGATCTTATTGATTTTTGATCAAAATGAAAAAATCCTTAATTTACAATAAATATTTAAATTTAATAAAATTTGTCCACTAGACTATTAAGAATATTTGAGTGAAGCAAAGAAGTGAGTAAGTTGAAGGAAATTGTAGAGCGAATTCAGGTTGGGATTGACTATCTACAAAAACTGTGGAAACCGGACACGTTTTTTCCGAATGAAAAAAAATCATTTTTTCACATTGCTACAACGCATAACTCATTTTTACGAATAGATCCTAATGGCAACGTTCTTATCAGTCAAAGGCAAGTGACTTAATTAATAAAAGTTTTTGTATTTCAAGTTTTGATCGCATTTTGTACAAAAGACTAAAGGAAGTAATTACAATCAAAATGACTAGCTTGTCAATGAGTTCAGATGAATAAAACTTAAAGCTAAGCTGATATATTGCCATCAGCAAGCCTAAAGCTTCTAGTAAAATAGTTAATCATTTGCTATTGATAACAGTTTAGAATGAGCAGATATCTTACTCTTACAGTAACAAACGTAAACAAAGCATTTCAACAACTTTAAGAATCTAATTCACTGATGAAATCATTATAGTAGACAAATGCTTGTTTCTACTTGACTTATAACAACAACAAAAATTATACTGCTCACACTGATTACTACATTGTCAAAATTACATCTTTCATAGCAATAAAATTTATGATAATAATTGTTCACATATTCAGTTTTGGTGGATATGAAAAAAAAAACCACCAAAGACAGTAATAAGTATGCTTCATTTTCAAGTAGGAAAGATATTCCCTAAAGAAGCCATTTGTATGGATAACTGAAGTTCAATAACTTAGTTGGGATATGTGACTACTTAAAATTCTTGATCTGATATGACCACAGATAAATGTAGCTACTAGAATGTTACAGACTAGAAATTAATGCGAAACTGTAAAGTTAATGAAAATTAACTCAATAGAAAGCAATTTTTAACTGTTATCTGATTAAGCAGTGAAGACGAGCTAGAAATTTGCATTAGCTGATTTAAGAAGCCATTGTTATTTTGATCTTCTTATAATCACAATATGACTGATCTGTAATTACTGATTATATAAAAACTGCAAAGTCTCATTCACATGAAAAAACAATGCTTTTTTGTGTCATATAATGAATTCTTGAAAAATGCAATGTTCGCAAAGACAGCATTAATTCTGCAAAACATTGCTTGAAAAAATGGTAGATGTCTAATTTCATTCACAGTATTATTGAAGACTAACTGTAACGGCTACATGTCCAATGAATCTCCAATTGTTTCCAATGGATTCACAAAAATGCAAATTAGAAATTGAAAGCTGTAAGTTTTCGTAAAGTTTTGCACTTCTATGTTGTTGCCTAAAATTCACTGCACTACAGTTCTTAAACTGATTGCAATTATCAATTAATACTTATCAAAGTTTTTATTCTTTGTTATAAATTATCATTCAATTGTTGAATTTAATAACCGATTACAGTTGTGATTTTCAAATTAAAGCTGAAAAAAATTGAATTAATATAAATAATCTCAGTATGTGTTAAATCAGAATATTGCAGATGGATATAGTGTATTAGATATCATCTATTTCTTCAATAAATCGAAAGACTCAATAACAAAATCTGAATTTGAATTACCTCAATTTATACTTGCTGATGTACAATTTGTGTCGCGAAATGTTGTCTTAAGTTCCGGTAAAAAATGTATTCATTTTTTGGAAATAGATCATATTTTTAAAAATCAATATTTCACTTTCAGAATTTTCTTTCAGTACTTCCCATTTGCTAGAATCTCTACCATTTAATGTCAAAGTGCAGAGATGAAGCATAAACTCCTGGCAGTCAAACCATAATATTTTAGGTAACTATTCGCGTCTTATTTGCGTGTTTCTTTTCGAACGAAACATAGGATTCTACATAATACAGATTTATTTACCATCAATTTTGATAGTCGTCACCTCTTGGGTATCGTTTTGGCTTAATCGTGATGCAACTCCAGCTCGGGTAGCCCTCGGTGTATTTACTGTTCTTACAATGACAACACTCACTACAACCACAAATGTAATCAACTTCATTGCATAAGTGAACTAGTTACATGACACGTCACGTAAAACATGACTATCATCATCAATCGAATTTTTTAAAAGCCTCAAATAGTAAACGAATTTCTATTTCAATTAATGACACAGTTCATGCAAAATAAGTAGATACAAATATTCAGTAAATCAAAACTTATCACTTCCGGTCAGCAGTGTTTACATATATACATGAAAATTGCAGGCTGCAATGCCAAAAGTGTCGTATGTCAAAAGCATCGATATATTTCTTGGTTCGTACTGTTATTTCAAAGTTGACTTTGGATACAAATAGACTTTTTTAATTAGAAACAACCAATTTCTGAATCAGTATCTGTCCAATACCATTGAAAAAACTACTTTCTTAAAATCATTTATGCAAAAAATTATAAAAAAACCCCTTGCATCATAGGTATGAAAAATAAAGTAACAGTAATTTGATTAACATTGTAATAAATTGTATCAAGAAATGTTCAGGTGTATCATTCGTTATGGTATTCAGTTCGTTGCTCGAATATGCTGCCGTGGGATACATCAGCAAACGGATTAAACTAATTCAGAAAAAGCAAAAAGATTTAAAAAAGCAAGACGTCTAAATTATTCGATTTTGACTTTAAAATTAATTTTACTTCTGACTAACTTTTGTCATTATATGATTTTTTTTAAACTACCAAATCCTAAAACGCCTATAAAAAATTAGTCTCGCAAACTGTTCTCTTCTGTGAAATTATAATTTGTCTGGCTTCTGCAATAATACTTCTAGTCATTTGCAGAAACCACATTACTTCTCGAACACTATTAGCTGCTGCAGACGTATCGGGATGCTTTTATGCTATGCCATCAACATCTCAGGATACGATTATTCCGCTCTACCAACCCTTCTATTCATCTCGAGACAAAAACTCTAACTTGTACAATGGTGGACAAATTATTCCACCTGTAATTCTAAAAGAGGCTAGCTTTTTCTGCGATAATAAATGAAGAAATGAAACTTTGAGTAAGTACTATCAAAGAAGGAGAAAATACTTATATACATAACATAACTTGTTCAAATGATGGAATCTTTATTCAATATATACAAAACTTGAAAGCACAAATTATCTTAAGTCATTAAATCTTTTAATTTTAGTCATGTTCATTTTGCACGCAACACTTCACGGTAGAAAGATTATAATATTTAAATGGCGATTAGTTATTAAAAAAATACACGATATTTATGTTAATCTTGTTCAATCACTGAAGATTATAAATGGTTGAGGTAGATGATCAAAACCTGAATAATTCAGGGTGAATGTCAATGTCCCATACCACCACCATCACCAAAACGTAAAGTTCTTGCAGTGGAAATACCTGAGGAAGAAGAATACCTGATGTTATTTTGCATTATTAGACCAAGCAAAATCGACGAATATTCACGATCCATATTTCCATTGGTAAATAGATGATTATAAATTTCGCAGATCATTTTATGAATTTTTTAAAAATATCATAATTATTTTAAAAAATAAACTGCTGTCAAGGAACAATTTCAGATTTTCATAGTGTTCAATATGATCTACTGGTCCTACTACTATAACATTAGCGGTCCAGAATTGGCCGATGTCGATCTGATGTAAATTCAGAATTGATCGATGCTAATTTGATTGATTCAAAACTATTCTATAATGATTATTCTATGGTACAGAAGACTAATTACATTCTCATTCTACAAATTACTCACTTCTACGTGACACGTCTATTAAATAAAGCGTAGAGAATACTTGAAGATTCAGAAAATTAATCTATATGATGTTATGTACTTTATAAACTGATCAGATATATTAACAAAATTACTTAATAACTTTTTTTGCATTTAAATTATTGATACAATTCTTCATGCTTTTGTCTATTCAGCGCTCAGGAATTAACATAATCGTGGATGATTACAATGTACTTGAAAATTTTGAAACGAATGTAACACGAAAAAATAAAGTGTTTCTCTATGGGATATCAAACAGTACAAGTTTAACAATGTAATAACGGCTTCCTAGAAATAATTATGATTTATCTGTCAATGATTTGAATACTGAATGACGGATTCATTCCGTTTCAAATAGTAGCAAATAAGTGTACTGACAACTTTTTTAAATAATTACATCCTCATGTAACAAATTATTTACTTCCACGTGTACGTCTGTCAAGTAAAGTGTAGAACATACTTGAACCTTAACAAACGTAGCAGTAATTATGTGAACAATTTAACAAATGTAATTCCAATTTTCGTCACTTCTTCATGATAGGCCGCAAAAATTTGTTGCGTGAAATATGTTATGCATTAGAATATTTATACATTTATTTATATGCTGCAAAAATAAGACGAATTTGTAAGCATACTTCAGATTTGAGATTGTACTGAATTTGAATGCGCAGAATCCTACAAAGTTTTATGATCGCTACATGCTTTTTTACGCATAAAATTCTAGTTGAGTAATAAATAGTTATTTGCACATGCATTGGAGAAGGGTTGATTTGCAATAATACAATGTTTGCAGTTGGAATGAATAACATTTCGAATGACTTGCTTGACAAATTTTACGATCTCGCTGATTTTGACAGGAACAAGCGTCATAATGCTGTGATAACTCTACTGAAAGAAGTAAGTTTCAAGCTTTGTTACTTCTTGTCATTTGAACTACTGTTTTTATTTATTCAAAATTAAGACAGGTCTAGAATTATTAACTTTATTAAGTGTTAATTTTAAAAGAGTATTATTCACTACTCTCAACAAAACTTGTTTGCATAAAATGAGACCTGTCGTTTGGTCGGAACCTCTTCACATTGTTTTCATCGATGTAGTAAAGTAAGTCTGGAATTCTAGAAAATAAAAATTTGACTTTAATTGCTTTTATCCACGAGTAGACAAATTAAGTGAAAATATTGTTTTTCAGTTTAAACTGCAAGAATGGTATTTTGTGGAAAGGTTAATAAGCGGTCTATCATCATCACGTGCTGCTGCTCGGATTGGTTATACAAATGCACTTGCTGTAATTCTTTCCACAGTAGGGAAAGACTGGACTCCAAAATCTTTGTTTACATTGGCAGAACAAAAACTCCCTATGGATGAAACAGTTTGTTTTTAATAATTGTTTCGGCTCAACTTTTTATTTTCATATCAACATTAGTAGTGTTGAGTTTCAGGAAAATCCTGGATCATTTCTTGGCCATCACTTTTTGCACTTTGCTATGGTGTGTAGCGATATTTACGAAAAAGTACGTATGTCTCATTTCATCTAATTTAAAAACTTTTTGTTTGATTTTAAGTTTGGTATATATCTAGCTCTAATTTAAATGCTTGTCAGTTTTTAGGCCCTTTGTGATATTGTAAAACGAGAAATGTATTTGATGGACAAAGGCTTGGCTTATGCAGCAGCAGATTTATTAGCTCTTTGTGGAAATAAATTGCAAGCAAGGAAATTTGCAAAAGATTTCTGGCCTCTTGTGAAAGAAAATGTTGTAAAACCACTCGATTTACTTGCACCAGAATGGTTTTATTTTGTTCTTATGGTTGTCGAAAAGCATGCTGTAAGTCCATAAATGAATCGAAATTATTTTAAATTCAAATAGCAGTAAATTGCTAGCTTTCATCTATCGTTAATCACGTTTTACATCGTTTTAGTGATAATTTTTGCAGAGTACGTTAAAATCGGAAATATCATTCGTGACAGAAAATGGAGAACTGTGTTTTGATAGTCAGAACTTCACAACAGTCACTAACATACTGAAGGTTATTTTCTTATTAGCTCTGATATTCCATATTTGCGAATTTAATAATTTTGCAGTTTTGTTATTAAAAAAATGTGAAAATAAAGTCAAGTTAATTTGCATTAAATCATGCAAAATATGGATTATAATTGGTAGTTTAAATGATAAAGATGAAATATAGAAAATGGTGAGCATTAATGACTGAATTGTGTAATAATATTTGCTATAATTTTTTTTCAGAAAGCTGATAGTTTTGGTGGAGTTGAACTCGTATTAAAATTATTATTGTCTTCCCGGAAATCAAATAATTTTAGGACTGTTTACCGTGAAATTGTTGAAAAGTGGTTGTTTCATGGTGATCAGCACAAGGTTGCATTTTGGATTCATTTCTGAAAATATCCTGTACTTCTCTATAATAACGATGTTTTCAAATGTTACAGTTTAAATTTCGTGATAACAATTTTGGTGCTCGCCATGTGCAAAAATTATTGGGTGTTGTATGGGAATGAGAGAATGGTTCAATAGCAAGATATTCCAGTCCACTTGTCTTTATTTTCAGGTTATATCTCGTGTGTTGCCCTTTATTAATATATTACTGCAAAAATTAGATCCCGAACCTACTGAAGTATGCTTTTTTCACTTTTGTCTAATTCAGCTTTTCAGTAAAAATGCATTATTGCATTTTTTGTCCTTACCAAATATATGCGTATTTGATTTCTCAAATCATTAATTTTTTGACTTTGATTAAGTTACTTGCTGTATTTTCTCCCGAATTTGTACGCTTCATAAGGTCATTAAGAAAGAGCGCCGAATATTTTGTTATTTATTCTACAGTGGAAGCTGTTATGATGGCTCTTAAAAAGGTTTTTTTTTTTTAAATTTGTTTTGTAGGCTTCAAATTTTCTGTCCTAAGCATTTCAGTTTTTAATAAAAAAGTTGCTCTTTCTTTTTCATTTTGATGTTTCAGTCTCTTATTTCAAAAGAGTGGGAAGCAGACTGTGCTGCTGAATTGCTCAATAATTTTGATCATGTTGGAGATGGAAATTTTGATGAATTTGTTGGTAGAAGTTTGAAAATAACAGATAAGATTCTTTTGCGAGTTCCCGATAAAGTTCAGGATCTAATGTCTGAAGTAATTAACCAATTTTTTAAAACGCATTATTTTCAATTTTTTTTAAATTTTTTATATTAAATGAAATTTGAGTACATTTTTGCTTTCTGTATTTATCTCAAAAATCATATTGTGTAAATATAATTAATGATATCATTCAACAGGCTCTGAAGGAGGGAGGTTGGAAATTAAGACGAATAGCTAATGTGTTTCCACATTGGCCATCAAATGCTCAGGGCGATGTTTTGAAGCAGTTTTGTAAAAATAATAACTGGACGGTGGAAGTGAGTCCTCATCATTGATTGTTATTTTTTGTGAAGATTGTAACCAATAGAATCTGATCGTAATGTGGCCACTTATTTACAGGCATCTAGATACTATTACTATTTCTTCTATTTTAAGGAATCTAATAGATATTATTTCAGACGCGCAATGCGTTTTGTTGCTGTGTTGCATCTTTATTTGATGTTAATCTAAAGATTGGGATCAGTGTCGGAGTTCATTATAAAGAAGAGTACGAAAACATTCTAAAAAAGTTTATCAGAAAAAATGGAATAGAACTTAAATTACCAGTCACTAATGATCGGTAATTATTTTTCGCTTAAAAAAAGTTTCGTCAATTAGGCTACCTTTTTATAAAAGAAAATAGTGTTAGGTATTGATTTCATACTTCAAGCATTTGTTTTTCGAGGATATTAATCTTTTCGATGATTATAAATCTTTTTAAGAATGCTCACGGTTTTTATCAATGTGCTTGCAATTTGGGTAATCACAGCATCAAATCCTGATGAACGATTAGCGTATGTAAGAGATCTTGAGGAATTATCGACAATTTCTGGGAAAATATCTGACAATGAAAGTAGCAACAGCATATCGGTAAGCAGTTCGTTTTTTAAATTGAAATCAATAACTTTTATCGCTTGCATTATATTTCTAGTATATGTCACATATACTGGGGATATAATGCTTATTAATTTTCATTTCTGGATGCAATTTTTGTCTACACCTGTGGTTTTCAGGTCCTAATTGATTTATTGCTTTCTTTATTAAGTCGGTCTCGTCGACACCATCAGTCTGTCGCTCATTACGTCTTTATTTCCTTTATTCCGCAAATGAATTTAGAGAATTTGTTACATATTTTGGAGGTCTCAGTTTTGTTCTTTCAAAAATTTGCTATTTATAACTCGTATGGTTTGTTTATGTTCTATTAAAGTTATTTGGTATGCAACAGTATTTGCTTATAAAATTTATGAGTTATCGATGAAGTATAGAAAAAAACAAAAATAGCTTTCACTGGGAATTAATTTTTTTTAAAAAAAGTCAGTTTTGTTTTTACCGGTCACATCGTTCAGACAATCAATCTCAGCGATGAAGAATTAATTCGAGATAAAGAAGATAGTGATAGTGTTGATGAAGAAATTAGTGATGAGGATGAATATAATAAACATGAAGAGAGTGATGGTGAAAATACTTCGAAAATCAATACTGTTAATGATGATGACAGCGAAACAGATGAAGAAATAAATGGTTCAGGGCTTGATGAAAATATGGAAGGAAGTGAAGTTAGCGAAGAGTTCATTGATAATTTGAAAGCAGCACTCGGTCCAGCTGCTGCAGACTCTGGTGATGATGACAGAGTAAGTATGAAATGTTTTTTCGGATACCTACTTAATTTTTTTGTTCTTTTTTCTTCATATTTTGGTACCTTGAGAGATGAACATATCTTATATGCTTATGCAGTTTACTAAATTTTTCAGTTCGTTTTTCACAAAAGTATCAACTTTAAAGTCATAAAATTTGTAGAGTAGTTTGTCATCGACAGTCAGTGATGATACGATGTTTCGTTTGGATGAAGGTCTTGCAGCTGTTTTCCGTAAACGAATGAAGAATTCACGAGCTCTCAGTACAGCTTTAGTGGAACAAGCTCGGCAACTTCGTGCTAGATGTTTTGACTTGTTACTGATTGCAGTATCTTCTGAAGCTGCTACATTTAAGGCAGCTGTGAGTTTATTAGCACGAAGAATATTTAGTATTATTTTGCACTAGAACACCTTTTCTAAAAATTAAATAATTTTCAGGAACTTATTCTGCCTTTAATCAAAAGTGCTCAACATGCCCTGCGCAGAAAAGATGGCGAGATGGTTTTCCGAAAAGCTACAAATCTGTTGAAAGTCATCGTGAAATATAGAAAGGTAAGCTTTGCTTAAGACAAATAATAGCTTGTTTTTATGCCAATTTGTATCTGTTATTTTTCTGTTAGTCACGCAGTATTATGCTGTAGAATCAACTGAATGAAGACATGGCAATTGAAATGCTGGATGAGCTTGTATCTGTAACTTCTCAAGTCATCAATCCTGTTATGAAAGATCTAATTGGAGATGCTGTCAGTTTTTTGGTAAGTATTATAATTCATTTATTCTTCGGAAGATAATTCACTATTATTGCTTATGTTTAAAACTAATTTATTTCAGTTCTCAGCTTGCTATAATGCGAAGGAGAATATTGTTTCTAAGAACATGCGTGAAAAAATATTTGATTTATTTGAAAAATATATTACGAAAAACCATCACGTAATGAACGACATTGTCACTACTCCGATCATTAAGTACCCGGTAATTCTTGTTGTAAAATACAAAATAATTTTTTTTTTCAAAACAACGATTTCAAAACCAAAAAACCCTTAAATTTTCAGCAAGCATACTTCAGTGAACTCCCACGAATTATTGATTTCGCATTTGATGAAAATATTCGCGCTTTTCAAAGAGTATGTTTCAATCATATTTTTATTCACTACAGTAATTTTTTTTCATTGGCAGTACCTTTTTCAAAGTACTGCTTTAACGATGTCGACATTGGTTCAAAATCGCTAAAGTAGTAGATACTTTGGATGAAATGAATTAAACTTCATATAATGGAATTATTTCTTACCCTTTCTGAGCAAACCTGTTATGGATCGTTTTTTATGAAGTATAAGTTCGTTCTCAAGTCATATTATTACACTTTAAATGTCGTGGTGATATTTCAGAATTAAAGTTTTTTAGAAATTTCTTTTGAGTTAAAAATTTAAAATTAAGGGTTGTCTTTGTATTCATACAGTGATGCTTTAAATTGATCAAAATAAAGTTTTGTGAGAGTTCTTTTAGAACTGTAACAAATTGGGTATGTATTTGATCCAAAATATATTTAGTTTTGTATTTTTAGACCGAAGCTTTATCATGCGCTCTAGCTTTCTTGCGGAAAGATTTGGTAAGTATTCTATATTTTTGTTACTGAGTGTCTTCAGTTAATTTTAGTCAAGAGGGTGTAATGCTAATGGAAAGTTTGATACCATAGAAACAATGCATTATTTCTTTATTCTTAATTAATTGACTTTCTTCTTCTGTATGCTGGATTTTAGGCCAAAACAGAGAAAACTGAAGAGCGGAAAATTTGGAAGAGAGTCACGAAATGCCTCTGTGTTTTTGCTCAAAAGTACTTCTCAGAGTTTAGTTTGGATAATGCGAAACCACGATTTTTTGCTTATTTGGTACGAATCCTGACCTCGTTTGCATCACTTGCAGAAAAATCCAACAAAGTAATGTTAAATAATATTTCATTTTTTTACATATCTGAAATTGTTTTTTGAAGTACTGAATAAAGCATATGTGTTTGTTTAATTCTTTGATATGTTTTTCTTTCATGTCTGTAATAGATTCAGTAGCGATCAGTTTTATCTTTTACTGTTACAATTCATTTATTCTCTCTTGCGTATTTCAGATGGCATTAAGAGAAGCATTAGTAGATGGATTGCAAAATTTATGCGATAACAGTGAGTCTTGGAATACGAGCAATAAACTGAAAAGTTTGAATTGTGCTTCAAAAAGTATTTGCGGACGAAATTCTTTAGCATCACTTAAACACTTGCTAAGCATTCTAGATCACTGATATTTGAGCAAATTAGCACTAGCAAATGTGTTCTTCCATATTTTGTCCTTGACTTGACGATCTTGATAGAGTGAAAAGTATAATCCAATAAATAAGATTGAATATGAAAAACTGAAAGTAGGCTCAATTTTTTACCGTTCGTAAAGTTACTTTTTGTTGTTATATTGTTTTTGTTATTACTGTTTCATGATGTGAGTTGTTGCAAATAAAGTTTGTTTTTTATCTGTTAGACAATTTGCCTAAGAAAATAAAGTTTATTACTACTCACCGAAATAGGGAAGACAATTCTAGCAGTAAGATCGATTCGACTGTGCGAACAGCAGTTGTTGCATGTTCGAGGTTGTTTAGCAATAGCAATTATTGAGATATCTGATTCGCAAGTGCATTTATCAATGCGAGCATCTAAAAGTGGTCCACAGTCGCACATGTTTCGGTTTATTGTTGAGCAGAGCGTGAGTCAAAAGTATATAGTACTTACCTCGAAGAAGGTCTGGCGCTGGAAGTTGTGGTTTGGGTTCGAAGATATTCTTGTTCTTGTTTCGCTTCCTATCTTCGTATTTCTTACTGGAGTATGCAACTACAGCGTATTCAATTAATGCCAAAACAACGATTAAGTAGCAGAAACCGAGATATACATCTACAGCCTGTTATGTACATATTATTTTTGCACGTTAGTTATAGGTTGGAAAATGTGCTGAGTTTAAGAAAACTTCATCATGGAAGCATTAGATGCAACTTGATCGGAAGGATATACTTCAAGACATGCAACATACTTGACAAATGAGATGTGAATTTGATGAAGTGCTATGATTACTTTAACATAAGAAACAGGTGGGAGTCGTCGGTTGGTACCCGTTAGAAGATGCGTTTCTGTTAACACTGTAAGTGTTCCGATAACAGTACGAGAAGGGGCAGATTCACGATTAATCCAGAATGATACCCAACTGATAAAAACGACAAGCATTGCGGGAACGTAAATTTGAACCATGTAGAAAGCAGATTCTCTTACGAATAGAAATTGAGCCCATAATCGAGAGTAAGAGCCTGTAATAAATTTGTAAATATTCTATATTATTAAATGGTTAAATAAACTTCTAGGCTTACATTACTGAATTGGCTGAATTTAGAAATATAGCGGATTTCTTGAAAAAAAATCTGATTTTTAAATCAGACAATTAATTATTCAAAGAATCAGCTTTTAAAAAACTTTTTTCCTTTAGAACTTTGCAGATCATGAATCTGCAATTCAGCTATAAATATATTTTTTTGAAGTCAGCTGTCAAATTTCTTAGCTTAATGGATGAGGTATACTGAATGACCTTCAACCTGTGTGATAAGAAAACACTAACTAACCAGATGAAGTGGTCGCAATAGTTTTGTTAATACACAAGCTAGTGAATCGGTAGCTCGGCAATTCGAATGGTTCAACTTTCACCGCAGAATTACAGTTTTCATCTTTCAACTGGCACCAGTGATAGTGTATGGTTGCAGTGGTGTAACCATCTCAATTTTTGCTCTTTCTCGTGATAGCATTATTTTTGCCGTTATTATTGTTATTATTATCATTATTATTATTATGAAGTTAATTACTCTGATTGCCATCATTTTTATCATACAAAGTTTAATTACCAGTTGAATATGAAATTGTGTCAACTTTGGTTATTGTGTGTCTGTCCAGAATTATTAATCAGTAAGCTTACTACAATAATTTTTTCTTAAGGCTTTAACTTAAACTTTGGTAACTTTTAATTGCACTAATAATTAGAAAGTGTGTATTTAAACTGATAAAATGAGTGAATTTTTTCAATGATTACACTTAAAATTTTATTATGTTTTCGAAGGTTTTAAATTTTTTCATTTGTTAAGCACATTTCGTTGCTATTTGCATAGATACATTTTCATTACTTACAGTATTCTCATATTAATTAATTTTAGCTAGTTGGTAAAAGAATGAAAAAAAGTGGTGAAAAGAAGGGTGCACCAGGTCAAGTCAAATCAAATCATGTCAAGTTAAATCATGTTAGATCAGACTGGATCACATGAAATTAGATTCGTATATAACAATATCATCACATAGGAATACAAAATTTTACAACAATATAAACAGTATACAATAGTACGGTGACGTATGCTTGTCACAGCAATAATATTTGTAGGCAATTCTGCAAACATATCAATAATAGCAGTATAGCAACAGGTTTTGCTTGTTAAATTAAGGCAATATTTGCATGCATTTCAATAATTTATGTTAATATATGAATTGCCAAAGCGTACAAATAATAATTAAGTAAAAATTGTTTGCACGCCATAGCAAGAAGGACGACAAGTTACAGAATAAAATAAGTCAGGAAGATTCTTAAGAGTTGTATCTAGTCGATAAATTGTATAATCTGAATGCTTGTAATCGTTTTTCGGATATGAATAAGTAATTTTAGCAAAATAGAATGAGAAGAAAAGATATGTGTGAATTCTAAAATTATTGCGATTCCAACTTTCCTTCCTTTTGATTATTGAAATAAAATGTAATCGGTAGTATCCACAAAAGAACTTAGCATTGTCATAATCGTCCAATAGCATACTGAAAATCAGAAATACATTTGTATTGCTGCAAATGAGCAAAATATTCAGTATTCAATATAATAATTAAATTGAAATTTTTGGTATTCAGATTATTTATAATATTAAATTGCGCAGTGAAAATAATGGTACTATTGGCAAATATAATAATGGGCTGTAGGTATATAGTGATAATCATATTGAATTATCGCATGAAAGATCAAATATTAGAAACAATAATTTTGATATTTTGATCAAAGTAAAACTTACAATTAAAAGTGAAAAAAAGTATGGGAAAGATGAAGCGTGAACATTTATCAATTTTAGATGGCGTGACACTTCTACACGTCTGTGTAGCACGTTTTGGCTTTACAAATGGTGCTGGCCATAAAGCCTTATCTGTTACTAGTCGTGGATTCTGAATCAATGGAATTGTATGACAATCACATTTCGGCATCATCGCTTCTGTTATACTCTTCAACCAAGTATAGACTTTTTTGACGTTAACAATGCATAAAACTTGGGATCATTTTAAAAATGTATATATAAATTTTTTGGAATTTGTGAAAATCCATTTTATTTTGCTACTGTAAACATATGTGAGTTAGTATGATGTACTTGATTAAGGAGGAAAATGAGGTTCAACTAATTTATAAAGTTACAAAGTGCGATCAATTTTGAGCTCAAACAGTCTAGACAAACTCACCAGACTCGGATTCCGAACTGTTGCACCGAAGAATGTATCCATGTGCTGAAAAGTACTCAAAGATTAAATGATAATTATGCATGTGTACAAGTATAACTATCATATCATATCACATCACATTGTTCATGCCATGCAACACTACCTCACTTCTAATAATAGTGCTAACTTGCAAACGCATGCATCACCATGCAAAACAAGATGTATGCATGTTTGCTGATTCTCATCTCTTTCTTACTTTTTGCTTCTGAAGCATTCATTTCAGAAGATTCTGATGTGAATAAGATGAAGGCAAATCTAAATTTAAATCTTTCCTTTTAAGTTATTACTGCAAATTTTTTACTTTATAAAGTGTATACAACAGAAAATCAAAAAAAGTACATTTTTTGGATGAAAAATGAACCAACTAATTCCAATTTCTATTTCCGGCCTCTATACCTTTTACAAATGTATTTATGCTTATGTTCAGTTACAAATAATAATATTACCTTTAATGTGCTTACATACATGAATACGTGACACATAATGATACGTGACATTGATGAATGTGCATAATTTTTAAAAGTAGACAAAACTTATAAAGACCGTCCATTTAGAATACTTACTTTCATTGAGGATCTGCCCGGCGAAACATAGTTATCATTGATAAGAGTCATATTTTGATATGACTGAAATATACTTAAACTATTTGAAACCTAATTATCAACTTTATTTGTTGCAGTTTGTTACTGTTAGAATAAATAATATTAGATACTTACCGCTTTAGCTTTAAGGGTTGGTGAGACTTGGCTATACATTGGCATCTCGACTGGCATCTGTTGTTCAGCCTGTTTCCGACGTCGTTCACGTCTTTGAGCCAATTTTTTATTCATATAACTGACTACTGCATATTCAACCAAACTTGCAAAAACCATTACAAAACTGAAACTATTCAGCCACCATTTTGATAAATTTCTTGTATATTCGAATTTCTTTCAAAAAGTGACACTTAAATGATCTTAAAAAATAAACGTTACATCCTAAATTGTATTTGAAGAAAAGCAAAATGAAATTTTCATTTTGAAAGTTATAAAATTCTTATAATAGATATACTTGATGTAATTATCAAATTTGAATGAAAGCAATCAATTCAGAATGTAAAAGTTATGATACTTTTCAAATAGAATTACCAAACTTTAGTAAAGAATCATTCAAGTCAAAAGATTTGAAAAGATATCGTTTTTCATATTTAATAAACTTCTATTATTTCTAATAAAAGTACGTCAAATACACTAACCAAAAATTTAAAAAAACATCAAGTCCTTTGATATAACTAACTTTTGGCATCGCATTCTAAAATCGATCAATTGTATTATTATTACAAGTTTACAAAAGCATCTACTTGACAGAATTAGTATTAATGTTGCTTTGATCTTCCAAAAAGTGGCATAGTTAACTTTCAGACGTCGCTTTAAACTGTCCCTTCCTTCCCTACTTTCACTTTTGACCACTAAAAATCGCTCCTCGCACATCAGAAAGAAGCAATCTTCAATTTTCGAAACAAATGTCTGCTAATATGTCAATATTTTCTGCTTTGACAAAATCGAACAAAGACATTTTTCATATTTTAATTATTAATTTTTGAAAAAGAAAAAAAAACTTGCATTAGTAGTAGTAATGAGTGTAGTCATAGTGAGCACAGTTGTAACGCCGAGACCGACTCTCGCTGGGGACGCCTCGCGGTTAAGCCAAAAAGAAACCCAGGAAATGGTAACAATAAGCATCGAGGGAATGATTATATTCATGAGGTAAAACCCGAGGTTACGACCCAAGAGTACTTCAAAATACAGTCGAACATATACACCTACAATGTATGATGACTATTCAATGATATCTTGATAACTATTTGAAATACGTATCTATTCGATTACAAGTCACTTTATCAAAATCTTCTTTTTATTGCATTGGCATTCAGCAGCAGTAATTTATTTGTTTTTTATACAATATAAAATATCAGAAATTATTGGAAATAAATACAAAAGTAAATGACAGTCACATCTACGCATCAAAAATACTTCAAAAATTATGCATTTAAAGTATGACTGAATTTTATATACAAATGAGCCACTATTATTTTCAATATCAGCTATTTATCTTTCTATTATTTGAAAGTGTGCAAGCACTTTTAGCTGTTTGAATACTTATGAACTCATAGCAAATGCTAAATACTAAAATGCTTTCTTATTACTCATATTTTGAATGCATTTGGTTAGTTTTGTTCAGTCCGTTTCAATAAATGAAGCTATGAAATAATGCTTGCACTTCAAGCTATACTGAAATTTACATAAATTAAAAACTTTTTGAGGTGAATGAGTTTTTTTCAATAGATTTCGTAGTATAATTTGGTTAACATCATATTAATACTAATTCCATGGTACATCAAGATTAACGGATTCACCTAACGGATTCTTAAATTTCTTAAAATCTGGTGTTCATTGTAAACAGTTGAAATAAATATTTTTGAGCAGAATGTCGAAAAAAATGCTTTTACTCACTGCAATTTTAGACTTCTAAGAATTCAAGTTTACAAAATGCAGACTACTCAAACTGATTTTAACAAACTAATTAATTTTCATTCCACGCTTAATTTTATGCGCCTTTTAACAGATTAGTAAACAGATGGCAACAGAAAAAGCAAATTAATCCTTTAATTCAGATACAGCCTTTGCTAATTAGAATAAAGCTTTGCTTTATGTCTTAATTCATACCCGTAAGAATCCGACTGAGTTCACACTACACAATACCATTAATACATTTGCATTATTTTTTATTGCTTTCCCAACCAAAATTTTTTTTACTTTTTCCAATTATTAAAATAGTCTATTTTTGTATATCATACCACAATGAACCAAATTTTTTTCAAAGTGTTGATTGCTTGTGCTAATTTTTTTCCAAATTTTTACATTTGTTTGTTCATTTATTAGTTTTACTTTAAGAAGGAAAGGGCTATTTCTTATCAATTTTTATAAA